GCCTCCCAAAGGCATGGGATTACAGGCTGAGCCACCAAGCCCGGCTTGTTCCCAGATCTAATCCCAGCTCCCTCACTGACTAGCTGCATGACCTTGGGCCCGTCATCACCTTGCACCTCAGTTTCCTCCTCTTTAAGTGGGGACTAAGAACAGCACCACACTCGGGGGTTGGGGTGAAGCTTAGAAGTAAATGATGTGGTTTATGCAAAACCTGGCATATAGTGCCAGGCATGGTGGCTCACTCCTGTAATCCCTGCTCTTTGGGAGGCAGAGGTGGGAGGATAACTTGAGTCCAAGAGTTTGAGACCAGCCTGGGCAACACAGTGAGACCCTATCTCAAAACAAAAACAAAAAAACACTCTACAAATTACAGCTTCACTATCTCCCTCATCACATGGGAAGGAAGAAAGAAGTTGGGTCTTAGGGGGCGGGGCTGAGAGGGAGGCTCAGGGGTGTGGGGTCTCACCCTGTCCATCCACAGCAGGCAGCCTAACTCCCAACACAGTCCTCTGGAGTTGCCGCCCTATGTGAAATTTCGGATAAGGAGAGCAGCTTCTACCCCTGAAATCTCCTGGCCCCAGGGCTCTCCCTCCCTCGCAAGCCCAGGGCACGACACTGGAAAGAGCAGAGACCAGTATGTCTCCGTATGATTTGGACCCGGTGCAAATCTCAAGCTTGGAGGTTTGGTCAGCTTGCTCTATTTATAGGAACCTCAGTTTCCTAACCCGTAAAATAATGGCATCAGCCTTGTGGGACTGTTTCTTCAGGAGAAAATGATAAATGATGGAATGTAAATGACCTAGTCATAAGAACAAGAGCCGGGTGTGGCAGTTCACACCTGTAACCCCAGCACTTTGGGAGGCAGAAGTGAGAAGATCGCTTGAGCCCGGGAGTTCAAGACCAGCCTGGGCTACATAGCAAGACCTCGTCTCTTCAGAAAAAAATAAAAAAATAAGCAGGGTGTGGTGGCACAGGCCTGGGGTCCCAGCTACTCGGGAGGCTGAGGAGGGAGGATCGCCTGAGCCTGGGAGGTCGAGGCTACAATGAGCTGTAACCATGCCACCGCACTCCAGCCCGGGTGACAGAGACTCCAAGTAAAAACAAAAAAACAAAAACCAAGAAAACCTCAGTGGTGACAGACCCAGCGGTCTCCTGCAAGAAGCATCTGACAATTTCTTCCTCCCCAAGTCCCGCCCACAGAGGTGGAACCTCCAGACTCTCTGAGACCCGAGCAGGGAGATGCATGCTTCCATTGTAACCTCCTCTGGAACCAAAGTTTTCAGTGGTCCAACTCACAAGCCTTTTGGAGCCAAGACCCCTTCTTGATGTTTGCTCTGCCTGAGACCCCTGGCCCACCTGTCCCCCTGAAGAAGGACCACTCTAGGATCGGCAAGGAAACCAGCATGGGCTGGGCATGGAGGGTAGAGGCTCCTAGAGTGCCTTGGGGATCCTGAGGTATCTGGAGGGGTGGGCCGGACGGGGCCTGGGCGTCACCTCCGGGTGGAGGGGACAGCTTGCTTCCACATGGGTCCCACGTGGCACCTGGCACAGGGGAATGTTAATCTGAAAGACGCTGGTGGCAAAGACTTTGGAAAAACAGACCCATGGCTGGGCCCCAGACCCCCTTCTCCAGCGACCGCCCTGGGGAGGGAACAGGTAAGGACACCGGAAGGCTGTGAGTGGGTGGGAGCGACTGGGTCCCCAGACCCTGTGGGAGGATCCTGAGCAGCTTGCTAGGTTCTTGAGCTTGGAGGGTGGGTTGAACGGTAGCTCACGAGCCCTGCCCTCCTGCGGTCAAGGAACCAGGACCCCAGCCGTGGGGTGGGAGTTGGGAAAGACCCCACTCCGGGATGCCTCCCAGACCCCTGACCATCTCCCCCGAGCCCGCCGCCTCTGGTCCCAGCCTCCCGTCAGCTCACCCCTGGGCAGCAGTGCACTTCGCGGAGAGCGGGCCCTCCTCCGAGGGTCCCGCGGGCCCCTGCCTCTGGGGCCTCCACTTTGCAGCCCCCATCTCTGTGTCCCCGACTCCCACGTCCCCAAGCCGGAGCCTGCTGTTTCTGGGCCACCCTTCCCACTTAGCCTCATTGGACGGCTCCAGCCGGCTTCCAGGGCCCGCGGGCCGGCTGGGGCCGGCGGGCGCCCCCCCAGGGGCCTGGACGGCGGCCCGCACTCACCCAGCAGCAGGTTCATCAGCACCTCCTGGCCGGCCAGCGTGCTGCTCTTCACCAGGCAGAGGATGGTGCCCCCGATCCAGGGGATGCCGTGGCCCGTGACGCCGATGAGCTTGACCACGGAGCGCGCGCTGGCCCAGGACGCGGCCCGGCCGGCGCACACCCCCAGCCGCTTGGACATGCAGATGTCGATGGCCAGCAGGGAGCTGAGGGCGATGCCCTTGAAGGACGGGTTCAGCTGCATGCAGTCCTCCTCGGGCAGCTGCTGCGACTGG